TCAGATCTGGAAATCTGGAAAGGCCCCCAACACCAGGTTATCCACACATATCACCCAAAAATGACCATCAAAGCCAGTAAAATGACCATGATGCTGCAACAAATCCTCAGATTCCCCATTTTATAAAAGAAGAAATCAGCATAAATGCTTACATGTGTTTAAAAAAAGTCAACAAAACCCACACACAACCAAACAATAAAAAAGTTGCAGGCAACAACAACTAGATGAAAGTTGCAGTGAAGGCATATTAAAAGAAAAATCTTATAAAAATCCTCTGTTCCCAAAAGCCTGTTTTGTTTTCAGTGCTGSACGGATGGGATAGGAGTGGTTAAATTTGGAAATAAATAATACTTCCCTAGCCAGCTATGTGAACATGCAGTGATGTGATGCAAAGTGAACGTGTGGTACCAAGAAATAAGGACAATTGGCTTCAGCTAGGAAATAAAGTGAAAAAATGCTTTCAGGTTGAAAAGGTAAAAAGGATTAACTACAACCATAGGTCTAATTCATCATTTTCCCTCTATAACAGAGACACTACTCACAGTTACTGACTGTAACAGGATTTCAACAGATTAAAAAACAGACATCAAGACAAACCATGCCAGAACCAAGACTTAATGTAGAACAATTAAGAGGTTCCCTGTTCARTAATTTAAACTATCTACTTCAGAAAAATTACATATTTTGAGAACTCCAGGTAGCTGGAAGAGGTACATTTCCCTGGTGAGAAGCATTAATTCATTTCTAAAGTAATAAATGCTTGAAAAAGGCAAGGCTGAAAGTTAATAAGTACCAGCAGCAAAATACAGCTGTTGACATTTAATGCTACAAGGGGGAGGGAAAGTCTGTTTTCTTTTTGTCTTCCCCAAAGAATTCAGAGGCAGAGGTCATCACGGGGACAGCATTTCCAAGTGTCCAATTCTCCCTTAATTTACACAGCTCATCAAAACTAATTCCACTCAGAGCAACTGAATCAGAAGTTACAAGAACAAAAACCCAGGTCTGCACATACCAATTCTCATTTTAAGTTGGCAACACAGAAAATTCAATCATTTCTCATCTGCWACCTGCTCCCTTGCTTTTCTTAGAGCCATTATCTCAACGCTCAGCAGCCTAAACACTGCTGTAAGATCCACACTCCTGTTATCCTTCACTTCATGGTGATGGCAGCACAAGCAAAGAGAGAATTCAAGCGTAAAATTTCAGCTGTAGGTTAAAAGCAGCCRTTCCATAAGAAGCACTGTCCCTTTGCACTGCATGGGCTGTTTATCATTGCAAAGGAAACAYAAGATATTAGCTGGCACAACCTGAGCTGGGAATTCTGTCCCTGAAATCTGTGCAGACAGGCTGAGAGCTGTTCAAACTCCAGGGAGAGCTCAGAGCCCCTTTTGGGGCCTAAAGGGGCTCCAGGAGAGCTGSACAGGGACTGGGGACAAGGGCTGCAGGGACAGGACACAGGGAATGGCTTGGCAGTGCCAGAGGGCAGGGATGGATGGGATATTGGGAAGGAATTGCTGGCTGGGAGGGTGGGGAGGCCCTGGCACAGGGTGCCCAGAGCAGCTGTGGCTGCCCCTGGATCCCTGGCAGTGTCCAAGGYCAGGCTGGACATTGGGGCTGGGAGCAGCCTGGGACAGTGGGAGGTGTCCCTGCCCATGGCAGAGGGTGGCACTGGATGGGCTCYCAGACCTGTCCTGACCCAAACCATTCTACAATTATGAGTCATTATTTCTCTTCATCTTACATTTAGGCACRAAGAGTTGAGCTCATCATCTAAACTCCTTCCCACTGTAGCCAGAGAGWGTTCAGAGCCAGGTAATCTCAGCCTGGAGAGTGCAGCCTGGAGTATCACCAGCACCATCTCCCCTCCTTCTCCAGCAAATAGAAAAAACTCAGACACCACCTCAGCCCAGGCACCTCAATTTTACAAGGCTCACATTCAGCGAGATGAATTCCAGCCTCAGGGATGGGATTTAGAAATTTGCTGTTTCCTCAACAAGTAGAGGGGAAAAAAGACTGAAATCTCCAGAGGRCTATCCCGATTAAAATAAATCCAAAATTAAAGGCCTAATTTTGGTGTTCTGAATTGCCCTCTGGAGCCATCAGTGTCTCTGCAGCGGAAAGGCAGAGCCYTATTTAGGTGTGAATATCACCCCAAGCTTTAAGACACACAGAACAGGTACAGTAATGACAGCAACAGTAATCACAGCACTTTGTCCTTACAAAAAGCTCTCCATTAGTGGATRCTGCAGAGCTCAAAGTGGTTATTAACCTCCTTTTGTCCACGGGGGAAACTGAGGCAGGCAGCAACCCGCAGCTTGCTCAAGGCTAGCGAGCAGAGGAGCTCAGGCCTGCTGAGAACAGCACTCCCCTCCAATTACTGGGCTATTTTTAACTGGTGAAGGTTTGAGGAGTTTAGAAGCAGTGGTTAGGAATGCTTTTGGGAAAGGTGCAAATGCTAAAAAGSCTGCACGCAGAGCTCCAGGAGACACAGCCTCTGCCAGCCTCACCTCCACCTCCTGGCTGTGAACGTGGGCACCAATGGTCTCCATGTAATTCATTTCCATGTAACCAACGAGAATACTGAGACATTTTAAAATAATGAAAGACCTGAGAATGCCCTTGTTTACATGTGATGTTTAAATTTAAGAGATAACTCCAATTTACATCCAAATTACACCAAACATAGACTAGACCTTATTACCTATATAAATTTTAAGATCAGATCGTCATAATCGAAATAATAGTATTTTGTCTGCCAAAATCTAAAAGATTTATYGTAAGTGATTCGCAAAATAGTTTTACAGTGGACAGATTAGTTACTGCCCCAAACAGAACCTACTAATACACAAAACTACAGGGTGAAGTGGCTGTCTTTTTAAGTTTTAGATTAGCAATACAAACCTGGTATTAATTAAAACATGACCCAGACCTGCCATTTCAAAAGTATGTGCAGTACAAATGGCACAAACTACCTCAACCCTAAAACAATTCCCAAGAGGAAGTGGGGGGCTGGGGATCTGTGSTTTTTTATGTTGTTTAGCAACATGAAACACTTCATTGCTATTTAGATTTATTTATTTATTCCAGGTTACAGTAGTTACATTTCAAAATTTACAGGATTAAGCAAATAATACATTGTAAATACAATATAAAATAATAGCAGTGTAACAACATTCTCTCTAAAATCATAAAGTGAACTTTATCAGTGAATCCACTTTCCTGACATTTTCCTTTATTTCCACAGTAAAGCTTTTGTGGTTGGTGGTTTTTCTTAACCATAATAATAATCTAAAATCAAAACAACTTGATCAAATTATTATTTGTTCTCAGACTAGATACTTTTTAATAGATCACATGAAAAGAAATCTCAAAAATTCAAGTCTCACTGAACAACATTCATTCTTTCAGGCTTTTTGACTAGATGGAAAATACCTTGGACTTAATTTACCRAATTATGAATGACAATAATAAAGCRTTTTTAAYTGTGCGTTAAGCAAAGGCACATGGACTATGGCTGTGGATTGAGAATATTGGGAAGTGCCATCCATTTTGTATCTCATTGTAGCAGGTTTTTTTCTGTGATGCTGCCTAACAATGTGTTGATTATGGTCGCAGATACATTAAACAGATCTCTTCTTCWGTTTTACATGGAAAAGCATCCCAGGAGGGTTTTGCAGACCATCACACCCTTACATAGTCATAGCATTTTAAAAAAGTAAATAATTCTCTGTGTTAACACCATTTCCATCAGGAAAAGGTAGCAAACACRCACCCCTCCAGAAAACATCTCACTTTTCTATGCACAAACTGCACCTTCCCACAGAAGCACTGATGCAAACTGATGGTCCAGACTAATCGCCAGCTCCATCACTCTGCACTTGAAATCCCTCCTAACTTAATAAGCTTATTTTTCCATGTGCCTTCATTTTGCTGACCTAACACCACGAGAACTAATGAAATTTGTGAGAAAGACCCATTTCTGGTTTTGTGTTTTGCAAGGTACTGTCCATCTCTATCAATCAGCCTGATTATTTTGGCTTCTACAGCACAAATCACACAGTGCATTTCCTCTAACATGTGTAACTGCAGTGGTCACAGTGCAGACCCCCATTATTTTAAAAACATCCACTCAACCAGCCTGAATTACACACCCYCATCAGGCAAAGACTCCCCTCAAGGTCAGCTGAAGGATTCACTGGCCAAAAAACTGCAGAGTAAGTTCAGTTTTTAATGAGATGAAATGCTATCCCCATTAAAACCAGTAGAAAATTTCTAGTACTATCAATGGGACTAGGGTTTAATTTCTTAATGCCCTTGAAATACTATTTATAAAGGAGATTTACAGTATGTGGATACAGAAAGAGACAAAATATATTAAAARTCAGTGATAATAACTGTGTTTCAATTTGCAACATAATTGCCAAATATAATCCTCTTTCACTGAAGTTAAGATYGGTTTTCCAGTCTTTACCTTAGCAGCTCAGAAAAAATAACCCAACAATCCTGCACAAACATTAAAAGACACTGCACTTAAAAAAATAGATGTGTACTTCTGCCTGAATTATTTTGTCCTAGTACTGTTAAAAATGACACTGAAAGTTTTACATTTTGTCTTTTTTTTTTTCCCTGCACTGTTATTTTTGCAGCAGAAAAAGTGAAAAAAGTTCACTGCCTTGAGTTTGGTTTGTGTTGTTTGCTAATGTTTTTTTATAAATAAAACCTGACCATTCAGTTGTTTATTCCTAAAGACCTTCCTTACCAAACCCACACTGGAAGGAGYTTGAATATCTTGGGAAGAGCCTGCAGCTAATCCTGCAAAAAYACTGCACAATGAAGACCCTGGACTTCCAAGGACTCCTATAAAAAGGGGCTGATTCTAGGAGAAAATCCTTTACTGCAATGTCAGTTCGACATTTAGTGAAATTTAAACTGAGCCTTTATATAAAGGCTTACTTCTTTTGCACTTGCACAAAAAGTATGAACCAAACCGCTGTGTTTCACCTGCTGCTAAATCCGGGGTCATACAGGTGCTCCACTGCTCCTATRCTTGAACAGCTGCCCCATTGAAAACATGTAATTCAATATTTTAAATGATAATATAGGAGCCCGAACCAGAGAAGCTGAGGCTGCCCCTGGATCCCTGGCAGTGTCCAAAGCCTGGATGGGGCTTGGAGCAACCTGGGACAGTGGAAGGTGTCCCTGCCATGACAAGGGGTGGGACTGGATGAGCTTTAAGGTCCCTACCAACCCCAAACCACTCCACGATTCCATGAACAGGTCAGCTAGGTTTTAACTGGCACCATCATCCCTGGAATCACACCAGTCTATCCCAGCTTATCTGACTCGATGCACCTGACCTTTTCAAACCATAAGTAAAATTCCTAAAAGGAACTGGAATGTTTCTTTACACCATTCTAAAGTATAAATCCTGGGGCAATTAGAGAAACTCTAAATTACCTGTGGCTCTCCATGTTGGTGCAAAACTCCCACTGATTTCTCCCCTGCTTATTAAATTWGRTGGTTTTGAAGTACCTTGATGAGATGTGAGCATAAATGTACATTCAAAATGTAACTCGGGGTTGGAAAGTAGATGAATTTCATTCTGATAGTCCTCAAGTAGTCTTAGATAAGTCAGACTGTTTTCATGAGATACAGAATGGGTAAGATAAAAATTTATGTTAAAATTTCAGCYGAAGAAATTTTAACTCCCTGAGGGTTTCTAGTCGAAGCCCTTTGAAAATAAGAGCTTATAATGGAAATCATGACAAACTCAACTGCAGCCATGTCATAAAAATATAGTGAAAACATTCCCAGGAGGAAAAAAAAATATAATCTGAAACTACAAATAGGGAATCTGTTGTCTCAAAGTGACGCCAAAGACTGTCACACAATTAGAACACAGACTCATCACTAGTATTGGTATCTGGAGATTGGTTCCTTCAGGGCTCTGCACTCCCAGACTCAGAATACAGAGCAAGAAGAGAATTGCTCCTCTTTATTAGCAAATCCYTCATCAGGTAACGCTACATCTGAACAACAGAAAGGTGGGGTTCCCCTCTTCTTTTCAGGTCAAATTTACTTCCCCATGTGAAAAACCAGATCCTGGAGCAAATACCCAGCTATGCACATCAGCGCACACTTTTCATTTCACAGGAGATGGTTTGTGACAATGCTAAAGATTCTGCTCTGGTTTTGAGCCAAGAGGAAAGAGTGACCAAAGGAAACATTATTTACCATTTATTAAACAATTTACAACCCCTGATCTTGCACAGGAGTTTTTATCCTTCAACTAGGAAGATTTTTTGGGAAATTAAGTTAAAATTATAACTAATAGGAACTATTCCCTCAGTCTTCTGAGAGCCTTGAGATTATTTTATCCTGAAAGAGTACAGCTTTAAAGTCTGTATTCTCAGCTTCTGTCACCCTTTGCTTGTTCTTTTATGTTCACAGCTGCTTGCATTGAAAATCACATTTAGCAGTGATGGATAAAAATAAAAGGTTTAAATTTTTGCCTCCAGTAACCAAATCCACATTTTTATCTATTCATATGCTGAGTATTTTTCTTTTCTTTCTTTCTTTCTTTTTTTTTTTTTTTAACAACTCCTGACCAAGACACTGCATATTGGCAGAAATTTCACTGGCTACATACCTAATTAAGTTATTGTCCATTTATGAGATACCTATGTAAAGGTGTTTCAGTCTGACAGATAAATAAGTTCAACTGAACTCCTTACACAATTTGTTCTGAAATACCTAATTGTTCCATTTATACTATTTTACAAAAAAGATATGGGCATGCTTACAGACATAACACATTAAAATAAACCAGTCACTGCAAAAMGCTGCTCCTGCATGCATGGGAAGATTTGCAAAGTTGTCATGCTTTAAAATATCCTGCTCTTATCATCATCATCAAGATATTTTTATATATATGTATCTATATATCAAATCTATGAACACCAGAAGGATCCATTTTGGTGGGTTTTTTATATCAGCAAATACTCTTCCCTGAAAGATCTTTTTAGAYAGATGAGGATAAGTTTATTAAATTGCAATCCAACATAGAACAACTTGTTTAACTTTTACCTGAAATGCACACAATTTCAGATGAGGGAGTTTTCTAGCATGTTCATATCAAAATCTTTGTATCAAAATTATGCATGAAGATAATCTGAAAAGAATTCATCCCAGTACTTAAAAATTATTTCCTGAATAGTCTTTCAAATCGTTCWCTTAAAATAAAACAGGTCTCTAACCTAATATTTTTCTTATGAAAAAAGAAGGCATCRTATACTTTAAAAAAAAAGTAAGACTAGGACAAGAATGTTAAAATACCAGTGTCGATATTATACTGATAACAAAAAGTATTTCTTGAGTTCCTGTTACAGGTTTGATCCAAACTGTCACATAAATTGATGGAAAAACTCCCACTGACTTCATGGAGGGTAAAAAAAAGCCTGACCTACMGAAGACACTGTGGTTACTCCCAACAGGAGGAAAAGAAATTAAACTAAAATAATTAGGAAAAAAGTGATTGTGGTTTAAAAAGCAGAGGAACAGAGCTAAAGGAGAACTAAGTGTTTTATTTACTTAAACTGCAAATGTGCATTTTCCACTGTAAAAAATTAGATTTAATTTTCATTAGAAACTTTTATCAAGTTCTACCTGATGATAAATACACATTTTTTGGTAGCTATAGAGAAGTTACTTCACATGAAGGAAGGCCTTAATGGAGAGGTGACCAAAAAATCCCTGTGTGTAGCAATAATAGTAAGAATTAAATACTTCTAGCACATAGTTTAAATTAATCCTACTTTAAACATCACAGTTTCAAGCCGCCTATTCAGGATAACTATTAGTATAAAAAAAAAGAATCCACAAAAARTCAGATTCCTGTATTATTTAAACAAAACTGATGCTGTGGCATTCCCCATCACAAGTGAAGAGTGATTTCAGCAGTGTTCGCATGAGGTCCRGTCTGACCCAAGCCAGCGGACATCAGATCACCACAGTGTTTACTTATCAAACCTTCCTTTAAATTCCTGTGCTGAGGATGATGCCCTGATGGCTGCTTATCTGAGGGCAGACAGGACTGTTTTTATTYCAGCGTGAAGGATGCGGCTGGGCCATATTAACAGGAGGAAGCAGCGCTGCTCTGTGTGCACGGGCTGGGGTGACTCATCTCAGCTCGCCTCACCCAAAAGTTATCTCTTAGSGACTGCTGATAAGCCAGGTTTGGGACAGCTCATGGGAGAGAAAGACACTGCCAGGAGGCATCCTCGGTGWGGGCTTATCTCTTCCCAGTGAGACCCAGGGAACAGCAAAGCACACACCTGGATTAGTGGAGATGACTTGCACCCAAACCAAACACATACAGATGTTGTGTATCCACCTGTGTGCACATGGGTAAGACAGCTGCTTCCATAAACGTGCCACGTGCAACAAGCAGTGACACTGATAAAAACTCTGGACAGGGAAGGAACTGCTAAATGGGAGACAAAAAGGAATGAAATCCGCTGTGCACACTTGTTACAGATAGCTAAATTTTTAGGATAAGCTTATTTATTGGGTCTGCCTAAAAATGAAGGAGAAGGAGCTAATGTATGGCATTGTTCAAGCTCCAAACCTTGGGAGTAAACARAGAGTTAAGGATATGTCACGGGTCTGTATCTAGTTTGGATCTCCAGRGTGCTTTACCTCTTTAAATATAAAACTTATTTCCTTATATAAATGTTTTAACATGCAAAAAGGGCATCTGGATGAATACCCTGAATGCTCCTATTGTAGCAAACACAGCCCTACTGCTTTTAGGGTATCTAAACAAGGGTACTAACTTATATATCCCCAAGTTTGGCAATGAAAGCTTAGGGTGCTCCCCACACACACTTTTAAAGGTGTTTATACGTGTGTACTGGCACATGCAGGTGAGTATACTGTGATATTTTAAAACTACATATAGTCACTATAAATTAAGGAAAACAAACAATATCATGGTAATAAAACCCAAAAGAGAAAACAAAACAAACACATACAAAGAGAAAAAGCAAAYCTCGTTTTTAGCATAATCCAAAATAACATCAAGATTGCAAAGATCAGAATTTTTTTTTAATTTTTTTTTTTTTTAAAGTTTATGATTGATTCGGATCAGGCTCTGCCATATTCCCATTCTCTGGAAAGACAGGTGGAAAATTGTTATTAAAAGTCGCTGGAAACTCTAGCGCASCATCAGCATTTTGATAGCCCACGTACGAATTAAACGGCTGCTGAGGAAGTACTTGGCTATCAGGCATCTGCACAAAAGCCCCTGACTGTGTGGTAGGGGGGATTCTTTGGCCAACTAGTTGGATTTTAGGTTCCCTGGGCTCCAGCTGTTGCTTGCTTTCTTCGTCCGTGTCAAGACGGGTTAGCTTTTCTATCCACATGCGGAATTTCTCCTCTGTCTGCCTCTGCATCTCGGCAAAGCAGTTCATGGCCTCTTCCAGGACATTGCCTATGCAGTTCCTATCCCACACGGTGCCCCTGTCAAGCAATCCTGGAATTTCCCTGGTCGCTCCTCCAGATCCCCCAGCACGACTGAAGCCAGCTTTAAAGACATTGAGGCCATTTGATAAGACATCATTAAGTAAGAACATAATATTGTTTATTAAGGCATGTTAACTCAGGAAAACAACTTTTCTAATTCTGCCCCTTGGATATGACAACAGGAGATGAATTAGCATATATTAACAGAATTACTGTTATAATAACATTTTACACCCACTGACATTATAATAGAAATTTTGGCTTTGACATTATTTTTATTCTATAAGTCTCTGACAATTCTGTCACAAAKGTTTCTTTTTAATAAATAAACAACCAAATTACTCTAATTGTCTTGCAATTTCTGTTCTGAATTCAATTGAAGATGTCAAAAATATTATACAACAACATGTTTAGTTCTATTAGGCTGCAATCCAAAATGCTATTTTTTAACTGACAAACCTGAATAATTACGTGCATTTTACTTACACACTTGAACCCTTTTATAAACAGGCTGTTAAACACAGGTGGAATTGGCCCAAAGTTCTTGTCCTGATTTTGGGAAGCACACAGAACGCTGATGAGAGCACACAACACAAACACACAAACACGGAAGGGGGGTTATGTGAGTGYTGTGCCGACACAGGAGGGGAGAGCATCGTCTGCCAGGCGTGATGGACACAGCTCCATCACAGGGACAGCCTGCACACCACAGAGCCCTGACCAGCCTCACATCAGCCAGGACCCKGCCCTGAGCCACCATTCCTAGAGTCAATCCCAGGCAAGGCAGAAAACAGGGAATGGTTAGAAGGAAACTGTTCTGCTTGCCGCTGTCCAACAAAAGGACAGTGGAAATTATTGCATTTGGGATTATCAGGAAGAACTTCAGCAGCCTGAAGAGTAGGCCAATCCTCGTGGCCTTACTCTACATTTCAATAACAAAAGGCAGTGGAATCTATACTTTCAAGTCTAGAGTTCGYTCAGAAATCACTTAGGAAGCAATAAAACCCCAAGAAAATGAGGCTCTGTACCCGTTTAAGGAATCATGAACAATATGTGCATGCCATCCAAACACACAAATGTCACCTAAGGTAATCCCAAAACAAGACAAGCATCACATTAAATTACACAAAGGKACAGAAGATGATCATTTAATATCTGAATGTGAAACTTGTGGCACCCTCTAGCTGAAGAATAATAGAAAATACATAAGAATGAGAGAAATCAYTGCACAAGCTAAGTAAATATTTACTAATAAAAACATAAGGCACTAAATCTTTATTGGGATTTCACTGAGTACGTGAAATTACCATATTACATAAACACTACATTCTTTTTAGAAGCTATTTAAATGAGGTATACACAGATCCTTCAGCAACARCTAAACAAAGCCCAGGGTTATTCTCTGAATTCTGAAGGGTAGTTTTTAAGTATTTCTCCTCCATCTGCTTACCTATCAGACAAACTAGAAATTCAGCACTCAAGTCCTCTGCTAAAAATAATTACAGCAACTGATTTACATTCCTCCAATGGCATTTTAACTAAAATTACTTAAATAAAATGGTACCTTTTTTCTAAAACACGGCTCCTTTTGTTTATTCAATAATTTTTTTCAATAATTTTTTTCCTCCCTGAAAAAAAAATTTCTTCTGTTCATTTAGATCTAGTACTGAACATCCAATATCATTCTGTTTATTTGTCTTAAGTTAGGATCTTATTTTAAACTCAAGAAACAAAACTACAATCTTTCTGGCTTCCAAGGGCTTACAAATAAGTTAAGTTTTAACTGCAATTCATTTAAAAACTATTGATGGCAGTGAGACAATCTTCTCAGATTTTTAAGTTAAGAATAAATGTTAAAATGGTCAAAGTTGACAAAATTGTTTYGTAAACTGAATAAAGTATATTTTGAAGTATATGTTGCCCTGCAATACTAATTTTAAAAGTCATCATTAATAGAATATCTTCAATTTACAGTAGCAGCAAATCAGTGTTTTAAATGCTTCCTGTGCAGTTACCATAAGAAGCCTCAAGCAATCTTTTCCTTATTTTAGGGGTGGGAAAAAAAAATCAAGCCTAAACATCCATTTTTACATATTAAAAATGCTAGCATTTATTTAACTGGTCCCTGTTCTGGTCCCTCTTCTGTTTATAAACTTTAAACTACAGGGTTTTTTTTATTATGCAAAGTTTAAAGCAGAAGAAATTTGAGGTCACRAAGRGGTCAGAACCAAAGATTCCTCTCTTATTTTCAAGACATCTCCTGCAAGACACCTAAGAAATGYCCCAATGCTGTCTCTTTATGGCATCTCATAAGAACTATCTAAGAATAACCAAATCCAAAGTAATTTAATTTAGGAAGTCTGGAAACATAGCAATTTAGGATATGCTTCACCTTCTATCTAACTAGCATTTGGCACTTCTGTGTTATTCTGCTGCACACATTTCCAAATTAGTMTCTTACTGCAAATAATCCTTAACAGACTATTTTTTTCCTATCTGTTAACTGTGTCATTTTGACTTACTTGAACTAAATTCATCTCTTGAAGATGCTTCATCCAAGATCTATGCACAGCTCTTGGGAGGAAGGAACCTGTGCCCATCTCTTTGGGTTTCTGCATTTTTAAAAGATCTCATCTTTTTTTTAATAAAGTGAGATGCAGCTTTTTCAACATTAACACTCAAACATTTTAACAGATTTTTTTGATAGCCTAAAATGAATCACCCGCATTTCAATTGAGATTTTTCTGAGTTGTAGAAAGCACAATGGTGGTAAAGTGCAAATATTTTTGAACATTACTTAAATTTTTTTAAATCCCTTACTTCTTCCAAAAGAGTGGTGTTTACAACAATAAGTATTGTTTCCTAGACTTACTCTCATGCCTATTTCATTAAGAGTTAATTTGCAGCATCACAAAAACTYCCTACTACAGCAGTAATCTAGCAGAATGTATTTCAGGACTTTTATGCCATGTTTATGTGGCATTCAAGAATGGCAAAATCCTAAATGCCAACAGAGAGGCACAGCCATCAAAAGGTAGAACATTGTTCCTCATCTGCAATGATCCAAAAATCACAGCATTCCCTGAAATAAAGAGCCAAGGATTATGACTGCTCACATCAGAGAAAAGGCTCTCAGGAGCACCCTGAAGTTTAGACTGAACCTGCATTTTTCTGGTGTAAATTAACACCACAGGATGCATTCAGAACAGCAGCTCGTGCTGCTCACAGTACCTATACTGAAGTAACACCAGTAAAATCTCCACTCCTCAGTCTTCCTCGAGGAGAAAAGCAAGCCTACCACTGTTTTAATCCACAGCACATTKGAGTTCAGCAGACACCTGGCTCTCTACTGTACAACTGCTCTGCARCTTCATGGCATTATCATATATTTCACTGTACATTTTCCTTGCTTTATGAATTTAGCAAAACATATTTTGGAGCGAGTGATGTGGATGGTTCAAAAAAAAGTAACTGCACCATTTAAGTGGAGGAGTTCTACTGCCACAACATGAATGATTACTGTATTCTCAAATGTAGCARTWTAATTTTCAGACCACACAMAAGCAAACTGCCTGATGTAACACTRCCTRTGTTCACAGCTTAGGAGTCTGTGTAAATTTTGTCACCAATGCCAAATTAACTGCCACTAAAAATCTTAAAGCATCTCTGTTGGCGAAGCTGTTTTTCAGGTAACAGAAGGCTAAAAATGAATATTATATGAAAATAAGTGATGTTGAATAAGTAACCAAGACTGTAGCTGAATGTCCAAACACAGACTAGGGGGTACACATGCTGCCTGTGTTCTCAGGATCAATGTGTACAGGTAACCCCTCAAAAGTAAAGAAGTTTTTCTTGCTTATGTCCTGACACTGAAGTGAAACCTTTCAGCTTTCCACTGTGCGCAGAGAACWCTTACAGCTGAATTTGCAGGAGCCCTTTTTCACACTCTGTACTGTTTTCCATCTACAAATTCCCTCCCTCAGTTGTGGGGCTGTTCACAGTGTTATGCTAAGTGCACTAAAATGGCTTTCTAGTCAGAAAAAGAAACTGAGTCGCTTGCCAGCTCTAGGCAGAGGGATGGCAGATGGCCTGGGGACCCACCGCTGCCACGGAGCGCCGAGTCYGAGCAGACTCATAGCTCCACCGCAGTTCTGGAAACCACAACATCTCCTTCACCCACAAGCAGCACAGGATGCATTTTTTGGACAAAGCACGTTTTTATCTCTGCAGAGGATAGGATCTTTTCCTCTCGCACTTGGAAGGCATTTCCCACAAAGTAAAGCCGTTTCCATTGAAAGGAAATCTGCAATGTGGCAGGTACGCATCACACCCTGTCACACCAAGGGGGCAGCTTAAACCTTTTAATGTCTTAAGCAGAACGCAACATCAAGCAGATGACATGTGCTATGAAATTAGAATAAATGTTAGTGCCCCTCCCTCAGGATGGTTGTGCACTCTTGCACTTTATGTAAAGCTGGGCCTTGGTGTAATCATCATTAATAGTCRACCYYTTCATGCAATGGGATCCCTTCACCRTAAGTATTTTGCGGTCAAGATCAAGAGTCAAATGCAGAAAAGCCCAGTGAGACTCAAAAAATACCYGGGAGTGGCTTCAGGTCCCCAAAATGGCTGTCAGAAATGTAAGCAAGCCTGAAAATACCATGTGGTACCATTCTTGGTCACAAGGTACTTCTATGAGTTAAAAAAAGAACGTGACCTGAGGGATTTATTCTGTGTGTTCTGGGTTTTTTTGAGAGGTGGGGAAGAACCCATCCCCAAAATCAATGAAACACTCTTCTTCARCAGGCTTTAAATCAGGCCTAAATTGCCCAAAGTGTAAATATTATAAATAAAAAGGCACAAAACTGTAAAAGATACAAGACTGACTAACTACCAAATTGGTAAAAATAAARTTAGATGTCTATTAAAAGTTTACTATACAATAATTATAGGAGGATATAATGCCTTTTCCAGACACTCTGATAATAAACATTTACTTCCTTTGTGCAACCTGCTTCCTAGCAGGTGTGGGAAAAATGCCAGTTTACATGGTGACAGCATCATCCACCATAATCAACTCCATTAAATCAGTTATTTGTAAAATCTGCTGCAGTATTTTAAATAATTCATCCAGCAAACATTAGTTCAGCAACTTAATATTGCAGTTTTCCTTTAAATGTTCTTGCCCTATGTAAGATGCTATTTTTCTCAAAAAGAAAAAAAACTTCTAGAACAACAGGCAAAAAAGGCATGTAAACCAGTAAAAGTTGGCAAGCCAAAAAGTTTATTTTTATGTATTTTTATTTTTATGGATTTTATTTTTGATTGCCATATGAAGACTGCCATATGATGATGGTTCTGTGGTATAATAYGCTGCAAGAATAATTCACACAAAATCCTGTCCACAGCACTTGGGCTAATAAAATAACAAAGAGTCAGCAGACAAACTTGAAGAATTCAACTTTCTTTTGCTAATAAAATGACACTAATAAAATGACAAGAAGGCCCCTGTAATTTGCTGCCTCCCATCTTAACACAGATGTGTCCAAAAGTTTAAAGTGTAGAAATTATTGATCCTTACAACATAGGAAAACTGTAAGAGCTTTGTCTAATATGTTGAAAATTTAGGTGTGAATATAGCTTGGGCACCTGTATAATCATATTTGTATCCTAAAATAGGTGACCAGCTGCAATCTGAAAGAACTTAGAGTAAGGCTAAGCAGGTTTGTCATGCACTGACATGTTGAGCTGAAAGCACAGAAAAAGTGCAGTAATGGCCAGGGCCTCACTGTTACACAGGCARGACGTGTGCCGTGCCATTTCTAACACAGCTGCCAAGCTGTGGGCTTTATATATTAAAGCAAAGCTGGCCACTTATCTTAAGAATCAGATTATCACCATCTAAGGGGATTTGACAGCTCTGACATGAGTTCATATAGGCTTACAAAGATCTGAAAAATCCAGAATTCAAAGGTAGTCCTTCCTCCCATTTACCATTTCTATGCTTTGTTGGTGTGCAAAAGTGCACAGGAACCTCAGAACAGATTTTTAAAATTTGCCGCCTAAAATAACGTCTTGTTATTACACTGCAGTCTTCAAATTTACACAGAGCTGCAGTTCTCCTGGGTTTTTCTCAAGTGTCACTCATCTAACTTAGCATGACAGCTGAGAAACGATGTCAGGCGTGTTACAGTTCAGTTTAAAAAACATCCTCTACCTGGTATCTCTGCAGTGATTGTCTTGCTGCTCCCTGAAACCTCTTCGTCGTCGTCTGATGAGCTCGTGCTGGAGTCACAGGTCAGGTCACTGTCGCTGGTACTGCTGTCCTGCAGCAGGTTGTACTTCTTACGAGCAGCTGCCTCCCGCTTCTGCCTCAGCAGCCGGATCCTCTCTTTGTGCTTTTGGCTCCGGTGACCCTTTACCTTGGTAACTCTGCCGTTCTGCTTATCGCTAGACTGTCGGTTCTTCTTGGCAGCCATTGTTGAAGTTTCACTTTCAGACCTTGATCTCCTGGATTTCCTGCCGACCGCAGCCCCGGATACCGCAGAAGGGTCTCCCTCCGTGGTGGCTTCAGCTTGGCAGGGCTCGTTCTCCTCTGCGGAAGACAATGTGTCTGAGTCAGCCAAATGCCCACTGGAGGAAGGAGAAAGCATGCAGTGGTTAGAAGAGTCACTCTCATAAACTCGGCCACCCGCTGGCTTGTCACTCTCTGTAGATGCCAGCTGGGACTCCGAGGAGTCCCGCCGCAGTTCCATCAGCAAGCAAGGCATGGAAGAGAGCACTGCAGAGTCTGCTGCAGTGGCCACGCTGTCCTTCTGAGTTTGTGTCTCAAGTTCTATAGGTCCATCTTCATCAGCAGCAGTCTCTTGCTTTTCAGAAGTCTTTGGTGGAACTTCTGAATCAACAAGTTCTTCTGCTTTTCCTGCTGCCTCCATCTTCATTGCAGAGCAGGATCCTTCTAGACTCAAAGCATTGAGCACGTTGTCTGGGAGGCTGGCTGAGCTACACGTGGTCTCCAGCAATGCAGCAGCCTGCACAGGAACACAACAGTAGGAAAAAATTATACAAGAAACTCAGCCCTCCTCTTCACAGCGTTACYGTAAACAACTCACTGCTTCTGGTTACAGACAGTATGGGTTCATAGAAGCCCAGAGTTGTTTGGGTTGCAAGGTACCTCCAAACTCATCAGGTTTCAACTTTCTGACACAGGTAGGGACACCTCCCACTGTCCCAGGCTGCTCCCAGCCCCAATGTCCAGCCTGGCCTTGGACACTGCCAGGGATCCAGGGGCAGCCACAGCTGCTCTGGGCACCCTGTGCCAGGGCCTCCCCACCTTCCCAGCCAGAAATTCCTTCCCAATATCCCATCCATCCCTCCCCTCTGGCACTGCCAAGCCATTCCCCTTTATCCTGTCACTCCAAGGGCCGTGTCAGAGTTCTTGTCCAGCCCTCCTGAAGCCYCTCTGGGCAGTGGCAAGGGCTCTGAAGTTTCTCTGGARCCTTTTCTTCTCCAGTTGAACACCCATAGCTCTCCCAGCCTTGTCTCCACAGGAGAGTGTTCAGCATTGYGCTGAACARTAACTTTCTTATCTTTTTCTTAGTGAACTCATCCTGTTACACCAAATTATTCCTTCACACTCACAAAAAATGGTACTAGAGTCACATTAAATGGGGTTCCCAGTGGAACCATTCTGCAAGGCAACCCTACATACCAAAGACTTGTTTAATAAAGAAGTGCTGTGAAGTGCTACTGAAGTGTCAGAGGCAGGGCTACAGGCTCAGGCTTCAGAGGCTTTAGGGGCGTGCAACACAGATTGCTCTCACCAGAAAACCACCATGCTGGTGAGTCACGTAAAGATGTTTTAGGAATATCTAATACACCATTCAGGAAGTCCTTGAGTGTCTCCCAAGTCCTCGTTATATGAGAACCTCAAGGCTGACCTAGTTTCTCTCAAATCTGCCAGGAAAGAAGCATTAAATAGTAGGGGCTGCAAGCAAGAAATATTATCCACCCACACCAGAATCCTACACTTTACTTCAAGTTATAATTAAATAAACTGCATTGCTTTAGTCCAAATACAAAGACCAAGTTATCTGATTGATAACTTGCACATTATCTACCCAAAAGTATCTGAAGCAACTTTAAGGAAATTTTGTCAGAGAGATCAATAGTTACCATTCTGTCTTCATTATTCACACTTCGCCTTTCACCTWAATTTTCACTTGGAATTCAACACAGAATAAAGATCTTTCAATTACCACATTCSCTTACAGATAATGTATGGAACAAATTCTCTACAGGTTCAGAAGTACAGTAAATGATAAATTTGTGACACATCAAGAAACAAAATGTAGGCAAGAAAAAGCAGCAGTGAGATCTTATCTAAAAACATGCATTTCTGCAGAGAAGGCCAATCAGCACTGGAGCTGCCTGAGGAAGCATGGATGGTTCAGAGAGATATTTCTGTACCCTGAGAATCCTTCTTCAGCTTCCTGATCCATCCCAAGCTGCCTATAAGCATGTAATTTTACATGTGTATGTAATACACAATATAAGGGTACTTCCCTACTTCTGAAAGGTGCTGTGCAAAGCTGAGTGTCATCCTGTGTGTCCTAGTCCACCTTGAAATTTCATTTTTGGAGAATACTAAATAGAGTTCATGCTTCCTTCAGGCTAATGAATGAAGTGGTGCATGGTGCAAGGAAATTATGAAAATACTTATGGGAGAGAAATACCAGCTAAAGAAAGAAAGTCTGCTTAATATCAGACCTCATAAGAAAGGTGGAGATGACAAGACCAGGTCTGCTAAACATGAGGAACAAACCCCCATAAACAATAAATGCAGCACTTTCCTTCCAGAAAACAGAATTAAACGCATACTGTAAAACTGAGGAACACATATGTCAGGGAAAAATATTTGTGAATACTTGCACTGAATAAACCTCTCTTGAAAGCAACYTCAAAGAAGAATTTCTGGAGACAGTAATGTAATGTAAGCAGTAAATATCATGTAGGAACAATTTATTTCCAAGACTACAGCAGAGCACCAACAAACCCAAATGATGAAGACACACATTCTGAGACTTAAATGCATGTCAATACTGTAATAAAATTAATATTCCTATGTAATTCACTCACAAACCTGTACTATCAAATACGGCAAGGTAAGTAAAACACATATTTGATAATGGAACAAGGGGAATTTGTATTGTACCTGCTAGTGCAGCTCCAAACCTTCTTCTGGCCATGTACTCTAAAACAAAAAGTATCTTCTCCTAGAGTTTTGAAATGTACACACGGGGAAAAAAATTGATTGCTCAGACACAAGCCAAAAGTGTATTCTCCACCCAAATGAAAATATACTTAAATATTCATACTAATAACTGTAGAACAGCTTCTGCACTGTTCAGCTCTTTAGCCTGGGGAGCACGAGGAGCAGAGCTTGACAGGAAGCTAAAGGGCAGCCAAAAGACTTTTTTCCACAAATGTCCTACTTGGAAAAATCATTTACCTCATAGCTCTCAAAGGTGCTGTAACAACACCTGCACTTGCCTTTCCATCTCTTCAGAATATCAACCAGAAAAAAAATGTTTCATCTGCACATTGCCACCTTGCTAACAGCCCAGTTGCAATACTTTATACGATTTTTTTAATATAAAGTGGGATCTTCAACTACTCCAACCACTGATTTGATCCCTCACACAGCAATTTTCAGTGAGTTGGTAGCAGAAGTAATACAAATTTGTAGCAGAAGTAATACAAATTTCACAATACTGAGATGTGTTTCTGTGCACATAGAAAAGAAATATATATATTCTTGTAAGATTTGTACTGTTCAGGTCCTTTGAACTGGCTATTTAGACATCACCAATTCCATTATTARTATATATATAAAGAAGAAGAATTTCTGGATCTTTGAGCTTTGCCTTTCTCTCAGTGGGAGAAAACCCACCTACCATGACTCAAACAAACTTTGCTGCAGGGAAGAACAGAGTTTAACAGAAAATATCTATGCCAAGGCAAGCCTTGTCTCAAAGAAAGAAAAAATTGYCCTTACTTAGTACTAACTGAAATTTGTACAGAACAGCAAGAAGAGACTTAATTGAAAAATTCCCATTCCTTTCTTACCATTCAGCTTACCAGTACTAGAAAAGGAAATCTCAAGGTGGTGCTAGAGAAAGACCGTTTTTTACTGAAATGAGAACACAGCACTGAAAAATAAGTTGTGATGCTTACAGACACAGATGGATACTGAATTAGATGTTGATCAGAAAYGGCATTCTCCTTTTACTGATGAACAGATACTGGACTGATGATTTTAAAAGGCAATTCTATAATAACTTCTGTGCTGGATTTTTCTAACAGAAAATACATTATTTTCCAAGGTACACACAGAACACACAAGTGTGTAGAAACAATTAAATTATCTAACTTTCCACTACCTCGGAAATATTTTCAAACCATGGATTTATTTGTAAAGACACACAATTTGTGCACTAGGGAATCAACACTTCAGGGAAGAAATCCAGAAGGATTTTGAAGGTCAGATTTACATACAAAGCCCAAACTCTCTAACAGTTTGCTGCCACTAACAATGACGGTTTTGTACCCTATTGTTTTCCCACCTAATTGTGACTACACCATCATATTCCCTCCTTTGTACAAAACTGTTTCACCCCTCTTTGGGTAGATTCCTTTCAATAAGTCAGCAAAAACCAAAATGAGAAAGTAAGTGAAATTTTCTGCCAGAGCTGGCAGGAAGGAGGGAAGGGAGAGCAAGCACTAATCATCCCCATATTAAACACAAACAAATCTGATTAAAAGCTGTCTGCTGTTTTGTCTCATCACACCTTGAACTCACAGGTTCTGCCTGGACACAAGAGAGAGTACTGAGTGCTCTTCACACAACACTGTTTGCTCTGGGAAGAGATTTTTGTAGATAAAAACATGATGAAGAGCAAAATAACTCAGAGGTGATAGCTTCCTAAAGAACAATTTTCATGTAATATATACTACTGCACAAAGATTTATACCAAAGATGGGAGAYTTCCCATAGCAGAGACTCAGGCATCAGATAATAAAGATAAATAATTTARCAGTGTTAGAGCAGCAGACCAGCTCTGTCACTGGAGAGGGACCCTGAACAAAAAAAATCCCCAGGGAATTATGTAACTTAGGCATCCACCCCTCACGCACCTTGCCTGCACCTCTTGGCTCAGCGCTGATTTTTCGTTTGTGGTCTTCTAGCACCTCATGGGGTCCTTTCTCCGTGCCCAGGCAGACAGGCTATTCAACTCTCATGGAGTTGCAGCTTCTGCTGGTGGTTGCTGCCTCCTGATCTTCTGGTTTGAGCTCCTGGTGCCTCTGCCTGCTGGCAGAACACAGGAAACTAAAAAAGCCCTTGCTTAGGTAAACAGTACTCAGCAGCAACTAAAATAYCTGTTTGTTATCAATGTCCTTCTCACACTACAGGAGGATTACTACGGAAATGAATTCTRTTACAGAAACAAACATTTCCAGCTGTAAGTTCACAGCTCAAGGTTRAAGGCTTCACCAAATCCAGCTCCTCTGGCAAAGCAAACAACATACTAAATCACATACCATATATTAACTAGAATGTTACTCATTCTACTTACAGCTTAGTTATTTAARCTGAACAAGGAATGTTTCTCAACAGCCAGAAATACTTAATAAGCACCATGACACCCTAACCTTAATTGCACATTGTCATTTTAGCCATCATTGAGCTGACTAATAATAAAGAATACCCAGCTTGTATGAAACAAACCACCTCTTCTTTTTCTGAACCTATGGACATGACAGTCTTACGTTGGAGGTACTGTTTTATTCACAGCAGCTTGCTGGAAAAAAATCACTTTAGTTTATTGCTAACACATTTCCTCTTAATCACAGTCCAACAGACCACTTCTTTTCCCTGCTAATGGTCATATCACCTTCTTATACCAATTCTAGCAATTGTTGAAWTGAAAAAAATTATCTAGCAAAACCCTGTC